TATTGACCAAAATAGCTTGTTTATAAACATAAATGTTAAGTTTTAAACTTATTTTAAATAATATATATAAAATTAAGATAATGAAAGTCCTCTCTGCAAGCTGTAAAACATTTTTAAAATATTAAGTAGCAAAGCCAAAAGTAGTCAGGTGCTTGGAATGGCACAGTAAACCTAATATTTTATTTTACTGACCTATGAGAGATTCTTACAAGCAGAAAACTAAATACAAAATTTACATGCAGGATAGGTATTATAATTTACAAAGTAGAAAATAATACAAAAGCACATTCTTGCCAGATATGACACAAAACCAAATGTTCCTCTCTCAAACACATTGTATTACATAATCAGTCATGACGTTTTGTCCAGATGCTAATACAAACTGGAGCTGTTACAACATCTGAATACACAAATGGAAAAATAGTATATCAATATGTTTGAAAAACAAGCAAGTCTACTCACTGTTACCTAAATTGCCAGGACACACAATTTTCTCTCACTCATTTTATCATTACCAAATGTGCATTTTCATCTACTCACATATAAGGAAAGACATTCCCATTCAGAAAAGGCAGAGAAAGGATTGGTGTCTTGAGTACTGGATCATATTCCCTTTTTAAAAATATATACTCTGTATCTTTAGCAGCTCTTAGTCACTAAAAGGTCTCTGGAACATATACAGGCAATTAAGACATAATATTCCTAAAATCATTATCAATATTAGCATATCTACTAAAATGATATTCTGGGAGTCATCTATCCTGTTTTGATTTCAACATCTCTAAAATGGGCACAAAACTGGCTCACAAGCTCTTAAACAAACCTGTAAAGGCCAGATGTTTCTCAAAATCGCCGTTTCAGATTTGAGAAAGGTAAAATGTTGTATGTATCATATATGACATAACATCTGCCAATGGCAACACCTGCAGTCAAACACGTGAACATTTCCATATGAAGAAGTGGGAAAATCAGATTAAGAAAGATGATAATCAGATTCACAGGTATAATTCCAGTTGATATTTTCTCACCTTACTTATTCAAAACAAAACTAAACAAATGATCAACTGTCAGAGCTTTTTAAATTTTGGACCTCCAATAAGACACATCTCACCTTATTTCCATAAGGGCAATTTTATTCAAACTAGAGAAATCCTGCTTTCTACTAACCAATGGGCCAGGCATTAAGAGGAAAAAGGTGAGAAAAACAGAATCTAACTTCAGAAGCCCCAAATCTAATAGGAGCTCATGGGTAAGTACTGGTAAACATGTTACCTTGTAAAGACAAATACAAAATATCTCCTTCAAATAATGGCCATAACCACACATAATACAGCAAGAAATACAGACCTAAACATCCTGCCAAGAAGCAAAACAGGGTATTGATCACTCTATTACTAACATCCTCCCCTAATTCCATACTAACTCAACACACAGTTCTCTAAGAAGCTAGTTATCTATTTTTCCATATGTAGTTAAGAAGCAAAACTGTAAGACAGGATTCATGAAAGTGAAGGAATACAGGATGCCATTCTCCCCACCACTTTTCCAATCTGTTGCTTCAGATCTGTGGATTGTGAAACAGTACTGACAAATGACAATCTAGCAACAGTTCAGTTTAATAGATACGTATTGAGAACTTACTAAGTATTATGCACTATAGAGGCATTCGAAACATGAACATAAACAAATCAAAGCCCTACCTCTCAGGTGCTCCCAGTCCAGATGGACAGTAAATTACAATACAGTGTGACATTCTATAATAGAAGTTTGAAGACTAAAAAGCAATACAGCAGAAAGATTTGAGGAGTCAGGAAAGATTTATGAAGAAAGTGATACCAAAGAGGAGTATAGAAGAAGTTCATCAAACAACAGAGAAGTGAAAGATACATAAAATATGCACCACCACCCTCCCCCACACACATACATGCAATAACATACACATGAATAAAAGGAATAGGATGGGCGTGGTGGCTCACACCTGTAATCCCAGCACTTTGGGAGGCTGAGGCAGGCAGGTTGTCTGAGGTCAGGAGTTTGAGGCAAGCCTGACCAACATGGTAAAATCCTGTCTCTACTAAAAACACAAAATTAGCTGGGCGCATGCCTGTAATCCTAGCTACTCAGGAGGCTGTGGCAGGAGAATCACTTGAACCTGGGAGGTGGAGGTAGTAGTGAGCCAAGATCGCGCCATTGCACTCCAGCCTGGGCGAGGAGCAAAACTCCGTCTCAAAGAAGAAGAAAAAAAAAGAATAAGGAAAGGAAAATGTTCAGGGTTAAGTGGCAAATAGTCCAAAATATCTAACTATATATCTAAGTGGACTTAGATCCTGAGTCTAAGCATATACAAAGCACTAAAGTGCCCAGAAAACGAAAAATTTCCCATTTTTTTCTAAATAATTCACTTTTTTCGTATTTCCATATTATATATCATGAGCTCTTGACAAAAAGTAAACATCGTAAACTGTTTTATTACTTTATAATGCAGCACACCCCCAAGTGATATACCAACGGATACCAACAGATTTGCAACTGTATTTCAGAGAACAAGCTGTCAGAAAACACACTATGAATTCTATTTCCAGGACATTCCTAATAGTATAGACAAAGTAAATAAATGAACAAGCCACATCAGCATGATTAGTCATAACAGTTGAATTCTAAAATAGAAATCAAAGGATGTTAAACAGAAAAACTAAAGAAATAAAACCCTAACTTTCATTCCACTTCAAGGCAAACTTTCTACAACGACATCAACTTCAGCACAGCTCTTTTCAAAATATCTGGTATAAGTCACAGTGAAATTCAATCCCTTTAAGTATCACAGGTAGAAACTGCTCTTAGTAAGGAAGAACAGTCACCTGTATCATCAAGCAGAATAAGTTCTACCATAGCACTAGATCCCTTGATTAACACTGTATGTAATTCCACTCAAACATTACAGTACACCTCATATTAACTCTGCCCCTAAACTGCCCTACCTGGTACCTTGGATCTTTCGCCTCTTTGTGTTACAAAATCCCCTACAGATCCAGGTAACAAATAACATCATAAATGTTTGGTTGTATATTTTCCTGAAATCTCAGGAAAATTTTAACAAATTTTAACAACAAAAAAACAGCTATTGTTTAACATTGCAAGTTTTTGTTTAACATTGCAAAAAACAAATTGTAAGCTAAGTGTTTTTCACTAGTCTATTAATGCTTACTCATTATTTCACATATACATGTGAAGCATACATTCTATTTATATTATCAGAAAATCTTATGAAGTCTGTCACTAGAAAACATAAAACTATAACTTATACAGGTTGTAAAAAATTCTGTAATGGTCTTTCAAAATATAGGTACTTTTAATACCAGTATCTACTAAAGGAATACAAATGAGAACTGGGTTAGAAGCACTTCTAATAAAATCTATTCATACACCTGAAAATTTTATTTACTTTTGAACAAATAATTTTCAGGTTATAATAACTGTAAAGCATCTCTGAAAAATCAAAAAGTGCAACACCCAAAGTTATAAAGGAAAAACAAAGGTAATTAGTCCTTGTAGGGAGGTATATGGGAAATTGTATCATTCTGAATTTTTTTGTTTTTGTTTTTTGCCCAGCATCAGAAGATAAGCCACATTCTGAGTTTTATCTTCAAGATCAGGTACTTGGGGATATAAATTACTCACACACAAGCATTTTGCCCTCCTTTTCCACCATATAAATTAAAGTATTATAGAAACTGAAAAATTGTATAGGCTGTATGTGTTGCTTGGTTAAACAAACAGGCAATTCTCATTCCCTGAGATCAGATTAGGTTACAGATATCTCTACATTGTATACTTTAAAAAAGATTCCTGCCAACAAATGTTTACATTAACTTATTTGTATTGATGAAGTACTAATTCAGATACAAAAAAAAACTTTAGCAGAGTTTCTCACTTCCTCTCTAAAATACAAAGTATTCACAAAAGTTATTACAATTCAAGCTCTCAGAAAATATGAGAGAAAGATACCTTTTCTACAATAAGGATCTTACAAAGTCAAGAAATAAGTGAGTAGAGTGGAACATGTTTTGTCTTTAAGTGTATTTTGTATTTTTCTTTGGATTTAACATTATAAAAGAACTACAAACTAAACAAATTCAACATACAGAGCTTACTAATTATCTTGGTCCATTATAAAACATTTCAATGAACTGGGCTCTGAATATAGACACTTAACCATTTCAGCCCACTGTGATTCTTAACCCTTTCAATTCGCAATCTTACAAAATTATAAGAGACATATTCATTGACGTTTGGAAAGAACTGTTGTCAATTATGCCAAGCATTCCCAAACTCAACACAAACCTTGTATGTAAATGGATACTTTAAAATTTCTATCTCATCCCTCACCCCATACTTTATTCTTTCCACTTATCTTGCTTCAAAAGGGAAATCAAGAGTCACTTATGATTCCGAGCTCTAAAAATTCCTAATATCAAGCATGAAGTATGTTCAACTTTGGAACCTTAAATTTAAGTTGGTCTCCCTCGTGAACTGACTTTGAGTACTTTTTACCATTTCGCCAAGAATCTAAGGGTTCAAATCAGTGTACTTAATTACGAAGAACTGCCCAAACGATTTTAAAAGGAGTGGGATTCTCTGACCAAGAGTTTTATGAAAATGAAACAAAATATGTTGCACTCAGTCTTCCGGATGTTGAAAAGTGAAGATGTCTCCAAGGATTCGAAGGAAGTTGATGTTTAGGTTCCTTCTGAGAGGGTGGTACCCTTATGTAAGACTTTTGTGGTGGTAATACCGTACCTACAGGCCTGGAATAAATATAAAGTCTAAAACCTTGGAAATACTTTGTATAAAAGAAAATTACAATTCACTTTTGCTAAGGACCACAGTCACCAAGAGTCATCAGCTTTCTCCCGGACAGACAACAGTGCCTCAATTAAGAACTACAAAGGCCTCTTTTAACCCTACTCTTTTCTTCTGTGAAACTTTTAAGTGAGACCTACAACAGCAAAAGGTGGAGAGGCCCCTGCGGAAGTAGAAAACCAGGGCTTGCAACTTCACAGACAGAAGCATCTGTGGTTCCTCCGCCGCCCCAGGACCATCCGGACTCAGTCTACGACACTACGGAAGCTTCACCTTCCTGGTGCGGTGGCAGAGGCAGCATCGCAGTTGCATTCCTTCTCCCTCCACCATGCACAGCCTTCGGTATCCCAGGGCCTGCAGGCTCCTGACACCCGTTAGCCAGTCCAGTGTCTCCCATCTGACACTTACACACACACTAACAGAAATACACATAACTGGCAGATGATATACGTGTATTGAGAATGTAAGGAGCCAGAGACAGCACCAGCTGCTGGGAAGGCGGCAGAGCCGTCTAAAGCGGGCTCGAGCTCCTCAGCCACGGCCGCAGCCGCCTTCTCTTCTCCCCCAGGAAGCAGCGCGGCGGTAGCGGCTCCTCCGCGCTGGCGGGAGCCTAGGGGAGTGGAGTCTGGGGAAGCCCCGCCACTCGCGGATGGGACCGGGCCTAGGATCTGGAGCTGCTGCTGCAGCGGCCCGAGTACAGCGACGCTTTACGTCCCGTCCACCACCACCCCCATACACACCCCCTCCCTCC